CTGTACCGATGTGTTTAATTTGTCTGAAACCAATGACCTGGAACTCCTCTCTGCCTACAGAGCTTATGACGCATTCACGTCATATGGCTCTGATCATAATCATGAGCAACTGAAGCAGAAAAACCTTCACGGCAGCCTCTGGGTTGTAATTCCTAGATATAAATATGGGAAATTTCAAAGAGTGAATGTTATCTCCCCTGAAAAGATCTGTGTGTCAACAAACTGTTGACAAAATGGCTGCAAAGTTGCAACTAACTTCAATACAATATTGATACTTATAGAAGTGATTCAATCTGTTTAAAAGGAGCTACACATTGTTTGTGTGTATCTAGCTTCACTTATTAACAAGCCGCAGCAAAAGTAGGCCGTTTAAATGATTCAACCGCACGATCCCTGATGCTTAGATCCTTGTGTGTTTGATTTTATTTAACTTGAAAGTTAAAAAGTTCCTAGCACTTTTTTTTGTTCAAGACACGACAGGCAACAGGATAGCAGTGTGAGTCGGGAGTGGTGCTGTAATAATTAAGTTGATTAATGGAAAATTAACTAACAATTTTTTTAATTTTATAATTTTCAAGCAAAATTGTCAAACATTTGCTGGTTCCAACTGCTCACATGTGAGGATCTGCAGCCCGAGTGCTGCTGCAAGTCTATAAAATGATATGTAAATTAACAAGCAATGAAAGTAATTGCTAGCCAGCCCTAGTGAGACACGGTTAAACCAAAAGGTCTTACAGCAATCATCCTGCTGAAATGTCCTTTTACAAAACACGGACTCCCTGTTATGTCCAGGGGAAGTTGTGTTATCATTCTTGCTTTTCCGTTAATCATTTTGTAGAGACATATAGTGACAAAGTGCTGCGCCATAAATGTAAAGCGTCGAGTTCTGTTGATTTGTGTGGGCATATGGTCCAGCATAACCTAAACTGGTCATCACGGTGTCCTGTTACCTACTTCATGGGTGGTACAGGGACTGAACATCTGGCTGTGCAGATGGATGAAAAGCATGCAGGACAAAGAAAAGTCATTACAGCCCATTTTTACATCCATCTAGACTGTCTGCTGTGGACCCATATGCTTGACCGAAAAGAGTCACAAATTGTGACTTAAATTGAGAGAGAGTTCATATCTACCCTGCTGCTTCATAGCATGACATCCAGCCACAAGCAGAGTTCATCGTGCTTGTGTGTGTGTGTGTGTGTGTGTGTGTGTGTGTGTGTGTGTGTGTGTGCGCATGCCCCTGGCTGTGTGACTCTTCCATCAAAAAGTGTCAGACTCCTCAGGCGCTTGATGTGTCCAGTTGTCCGCCCCATCTCTATGACCGTGTTAGCCTGCCTGTGGGAGAGAATGTGTCTCATCGAGAGGAAGGAAGTAAAAGAGGTTTTACATAACCTGTTTCGACCAATCATGAGGCCAGTTCATAAGTGCTTAGCCTCGGGTTTTGTAGCTGTCTAAGAAGCACAGGTCATAGCAGATGTAGCTTTCAGTATCTAATTATTTTCACAAAGTAAAAGGGAATGGAAAAGAAGGAAAGGAAAGGGTTAGTATAACACAGTTGAACTCATAAGGAAAGAAACTGTTGCTCTGCTCTTTGGCCACATCTCAATCAGCGATGCCACCACATCAGTTTTCCATTAGCTACAAAGACACAACGCTGACTTCACTCACTGTGTCCCAAATCACTTCCTCATTCACTCACTCGCTGCTTCTTACATGATAGAGCAGTTGACTGATATATATCGAGTGATATTGCAGGTCTTATCACTTTGTCGCCTTAAATGAAGACATTGTTATGAGGTAGCTTCACTCATTAATGGAATTTAATGTGACAAGCACACACACACACACACACTCTCACACAGGATGACTGCAGTTCCTCTCAGATTTAGGCCGTGTGCAGCCTAAAGATTTGGGGCAAGAGTGGCGAGGAGTTGGTGTTTCCCTTCTCTTTTTTTATTTTCGTCAGTACAGCCATCCAGCTGCAAAGCCCCATTAGTCAGCGTATTGTGTGACACCATATTTTATTGTGTGTCATCATTGTCGCCTCAGTGTCAGTAATAATAATGCTGCATCGCTCTGGTAAAAAAAAAAAAAAAAAAAAAAAAAAAAAAACAAGGCCGGTTTAAGGCTAGTAAGGCTTAAAGTAATAGTTACCTAATCACAGTAACATGACTTTGCACTCACTCCATGCCGTCTCTGTTCAGGCCGATAATTTTAAGTGCATTTGTGCAGTGTTGAGAATGATTCAGCCATGACATTTCAGCTAGCTGGAAAGCAACTGCAGCGCTGAAAAAGGAAGTACCAAATTGTTGAGTTTTGTCGCCCTATGTGGACTTTTCATTTGAAAGAGCCAGACATTACATTCAAACAGTTGGTAATGCCTGAGGGCTCAGTGAAATATAGTGCAGGTCCATTAAGATAGTATTGTTTTGGCTCTCTATTTCAGTGCATTGAATTTGAAATGAGATAGTAACTATAAAGTTAAAGTGCTGACTTTGAGGGTGTATAATTCCACATCCAACGAACCAATGTCGAAATTGTATCCCTTTTTATACATACCCCTAAGGGTAAAAATGAAACGTCTACGTGTCATGAAATCTAGAGCGGTGGAGTCGAACCGAAACGATTGAAAACCCTGTCCGAATACAGACTAGACTGTGTCTTCAAGACGATATTTAGATTTCTCCCATAGATATAAGTATTACATCCAATACTGATGTGTTTTCATCTCTGGAGGCTGCTGAAATGCTGAGCAGCTGTGTCCAGATTTCCCCTCTTAAATTATTTCCTCAGCGTGGGTGAAATATGTTTGTTTGATGAAATATTCAGTGATCCACACTGTGTAGCCATTTGGGTACGTTTGCAATAAGAGTATTATAATGGAGAACACTGTTTGCTAACTATTTTGAGCATCAACACACGGTAACGTGTTTTTTGGCCTCATCGTTGTGCTGCTCCAGGTCCTGCTGAGCCCTGCAAGAGGTAATAAAAGGGCCTGCAACTCAGCATGCCTCGCAAAACCTCTGGATGGAGAAATTTCTGCAGAGCCACATGAGACTGCTCACTGTCTGTATCTCCCAAATAAGCCTTGACATGTAATTCCACTCACCTTGCCACCTCAGGGCTCTGTTGGTCCTATCAATAAACAGTCCATTTAGCTCAGAGGTCACTCTAAACTTCCACCCTAACAAGAAGTTTTGCAAGTTGGCCAAAAAAGGGTATTTGATTGAGGAAGGAATTTTTTTTTTTCTGAATTCACCCTTTTTCATCTCTTTCTCGTTTTTCTTCTTCTTCTTCTGTCCCTGAGGGTCAGTGTACTGTTGACTAAGCAGCCAGTCAGCATCTGTTTTGGCTCACCTCCATTAGTTTCTTGATTGACTACCGGCACCGGTAGCACATCCCCCTAGATTTCTCCACCCTGCTCTCCCCTTAATCTCCCATCCATCGCTCCAAATCAAGGCTCAGGTCGCTGTGCCCGTGGCCAGCGGGCATCACTCATTATACTGTGAAGTTTCAATTGCTGCCTGACCCCTTTCATCCAATTTCATGGCTGCTCATGGTGGGCCAGTGCCCCTGCTGCTCCGCTCTGAAACTCTTTAAACGAACCAACCTTTGGCACAAGGCCGCCACTCATCTCAGCAAGACGAGAGGGAGACGAATTTAGTTCAAATGAATGTCAAGCCTTGTTATTGTAGCTCTTGGTTAATATGGTTTGGGCACTCAAGAGCCCTGGCTTTCCCCCTTCCCTCTCATTCTGATTTCAAACACACCCTCACACAAATAGTGGGGGTTGAAATGCCTCAGTTCACTGCTAATAAAGAAAATAAACCACCCCCTGGCTTTGGAAAATGAAAAATCTCACTTTAATCCAGATGGAACAGTGTTTGCTGGTCACAATTTGCCTCCGAGGGCTATTTTGTGTTATAAATTGATGAGGACCTAAATTTTCAATGTGGTCTTGCTTCATTGAGGAACTGTATCTCATTCTCAATTGTTGTTTCTATCAAATAACCTATAAACACATCAACCCTCTGCCACGTCTGTAATGCAGAATCATAGAATCCCTCCCAGATCAGTTAGATTATCTCTCGTGAGCAGTCTGTCACATCTCATATTACTCTGCACTCCTTATCTTCTGAAACTGATGTATTTTGAATATGAATCTAGCACGCAGACGCCTGATGATTATTCTTTGAAGCTTAAGTGTCAGAATGATCTTGTATGATCATCAAGCACATTTGCCACTTTAAATGTAATTCAGAACCTTTCAGCAGCAGTTATTTGATGACCTCATCTGTAACGCTTTCCGGTTAAGTGATGTTTGCTTGCAGCTCTGTGTGTGTGTGTGTGTGTGGAAAACGCGTGTGTGTGTGTGTGTGTGTGTGTGTGTGTGTGCGCTGCGCTGCTTGTCCTTGTTATCGTGCATTACTCAGGTGTTCAGGTCCGAACTAGGGGCCACATTCTTTCAGGCCCAATTACGTATTTATATATTGAAGGCCACCATATGGTGTGAGTCATTCAACAGAGTAGAGGAGTACAAAGTAAATGGACCTTCACTGGCCAACGGCTGTTCTTTTATCAACGTGTTGGTGTATGTAGAGATGCAGTGGATGCGAGTCAGGATCTAGCTTTGAGATTAGTTTTATTAAGACCTGATAGAAGGTGGTAACATACCAGAAAAGCAAATACAAGAATCCAGACAGCCACATGTCTGTGGCATGTCAGTGTCCAAAAAACCTACTCATGGACTGAATATCGACATGAATATCGAATAAACATTAATATTAGATTGTTTTTCAAAACATTTCTGAGGAATGAAGGTAATAATTGCACCTGTCAGAGCATAATTTATGGCACGACAAGTTATTACAGTTTTGTATGAATCATTGTCATTGTCTTATGTCAAATGAAATGCCAGCATAAAATGGTTTCCATCACAGGTATCAGCTTTGACTCAAACCGCTGCTGTCGGTGACAGTCCGTCTCTCTTGTGCCCACAGCCAGTGAAAACTGCCATGACTTCCACCCCATGTTCTTCACCCACGATCGCTCCTTTGAGGAATTCTTCTGCATCTCCATCCAGCTGCTCAACAAGACCTGGAAGGAGATGAGAGCCACAAGTGAAGACTTCAACAAAGTACGTGGGAGGCTTTGCTGAATAAACACCATCACTGTGTCCCAGTTCCATCCATGCTACATGCTAACTGCAACTAGGTTTTGGGTTTCAAGTGCATTCAATTCACACTGGCAAAGTGAAACATTTAAAATACTTGGTAGCACTATGCACACTTATAATATACTTTAAATACTTACATACTTAATATGAATGATGTTGATGGACTCAGGTGAGACATATCCAGGAACATTTTCGAAAGGTTTCCAAATCTGAAATTAGCAGCAACTAACGAACAATGTAGTGTGGAATTGGGACGCAACTGAAGTCTTTGACTAGTTAAAAAATGTTCCACAAACATGCAGCACGGTGAGATTTCACTGCACAGAGTTTGTTTGCGATGCAAAATGCTCCATTTTTGAAAAAGAATACTTTTATACTTGATGGAAAACAAGCTAATAGACGATGACACTGAGGACAAAAACAATGTTTTGTGTTGTTTTTAGAATTGGTCATTTTTGCTATTTTAAGGTGAGGTCTTTGTGTAGAATCGTGACACACACACACACACACACACGATTTGTGTCGCACATCACTGACTTTCTGTTGTGAAGCAGCACAGTCGCATAGCTCACTCTCAGTTCCAGCTGTGATAATCATATCTCGTGTTCTGTCAGTCACTGAGGCGGCACGCACAGTCAAATATCAGTCCTGATTAAGGTGCATAGACATGAAATGTTTTTTTTTCCTGTTTGCACAAATGAACATGCTTTAGGGGTTTCTTTTATAAGAGCACAAATTGAGAGAAAGAACTGCACATCTCAAACATCTCATCGCATTTTACATCGTCTTTTAGGTTTTGAATTTTTCCTGCAGTTTTTTTTTTTTCCCTCTGACATGAAACATTAGCTGCCTCCATTGGCCGAGCCACTGATTAGGCTCCTACATCTTCATTTGGAGTTCATTGGAGTCTGGGATGAGGATGAAAAACTTCCTGTAAGATGGCTACCGTTGAGTCGGCTCACACAGGAAATATATGTGTGCGCGCAGCCAGACGGTGATAGTAATGAGGTGTTTATGACAGATATTGTATGTGGTGTATTCAGTTGGGCATGAGTTGAAGCAGACAACAGATGCTGTGTGCCTTTTTACTGATTTGTCAAACAAATTATGATTATCTTACGGTGTCAAACACCAAGCAGACCAACACAAGCTACAAGCCAGCCCATGTCCAAGTCACTGCTTACACATTGATTTGTTGTGCTTCCGTCCTCTGCTCATATTTACTGGCATTGATCAGCATTGGAAAAGTGTCTCACACATAAGCAAGCCAGTCCTTAATTCTGCATTTGCTCTGCAGGTATTCTGCTCTTGTTCCCATATGTCATGCCGCTGTAAAGGGCCACATATTGCGCTACATCAAGGTGACTCTGTAATTGCTAAATCAGCCTCCAGCATCCATGAAATACATTTTCAAGAGTTTTCACATCTTAATTTTGTGTGTGAATGGGAGTGAGTGTGAAGTGATGCTGGAGTTGCATCATTCTCTGTTAACTTCGCTGTGGGTTACATGATGGCAGTGACAGCAATGTGAGTTTCATAAGTCGGTCTGACAAACAGAAGTTAGCGCTCGGATGCAAGATTGTGAATAAAGTCGAGCTCTCAGCTTTCGCAAAGGAAATAAGAGAATGATATGAAAAATGTGTTGTTGTTGTTTTGAGACTTTTTGATCTACTGCGAGAGGCTATGAACGAAGGGTCTTAACATATCGTAGTCAAGATGAGAAACAGGAAAATCCAGTCATCCTCTGTAGCAGTGGTTGAGTAAATGTTTCATGCGCCTACAGTCTATTGAAGTCCTCACCACTATATGTGTTTTTCAGCTCACTAAAAGCTTTAGTAGTGGAATCACTTGAGAGCATGATAGTATTTTTGGTTTTATGAATTCAGAACTGAAAAAGGGACAGTGTCATTGTGTCAGTCTGTTTGTCTGGTGATCTAAATGCTGTAATTACGAAGTGAAATTACGAAGATTCTTTAATGATAAATATACCAGGAGTGATGAGACCATCTGTAATGGGCTAGCTAATCTCAGTTCAGTTCTGCTTCTAGTTCATCCTGGGGCGAGGACACAACACACACATACTGTACACACACCTCCCCTAGCAAGCAATCCTGTTATCCAACCCCATCCTTCACACCCCTCCCTCAAAGGCAAGAGTCAATTTCGATTGAGTTGGGATAGATGACGCTTCCCTTCCTTCTCCCTTCTGCCCTCCCCAAACCTCATCTTTCATCACACGGTACCTTGGGAGTTTGAAATTCAGCAGCAGCTTGTCGATAGCAAGACTGTTTGGTCTCTAGGGCTTCCTATCAGTTAAATGGTGCGTGTGGAGCTCTGCGCTTCCAGCCCCGAACGCTGAGGCTCAGTTTGTAACCGCTATGAACTTAGAAACACTCAGGAGACATCAGCCCCTCTGATGATGTCTGAAAGTTGTCATTTTCTACCCAGTTCTGTCAACAACAAACCGAGTTGTTTATGTGTAACTGAAAGTCACTGACTGCACATTCCATAAAATGAAATGTCTCTACGATAAAGAGGAGGAACATGCCCCAGAGATGCACGCTGGGAAAGCTCGATGTAGATCCCACTAAATCCTGAGCATTAGCATTAGCAATACTAATGAGAAGAACATGAACATGAGTTTTAAGTGCTTTACAAAGTCAATAAAGTGAGAAACAAGATGAGGGGATTAAGGAAAATACAAATCACAGATATAAACATTTAACGTCAAGTGACATGGGAGTTGGAGCATCTTTAGCTTTCGTACTATGCCATGAAACGGAATATGTGTGGGTTGTAATCAGGAGTGAGACTCAGATTCACAGTTTCTCAGAAGTTGGTGTGGCTTATCGAATACAGAGTGAGGGAGATGGAGAAATGAATAATTTAGACCACATTCACTTGACTTGAGACCCACACACACACATCTCTGACCCACGACATCGCTCTGGGACCTACTACAACCTAAAGGCTAATAGTCAAGATTGGTTTCCTCTCATGCATTGGGATAGGTAGTCGCCCTAAATCACAGTTGACTGGATAAATTAAGCTTTGCACCCAGAGTTAAAGATTTTATATATATATACTTATATATTTTATAGAAAGAGAAGAGAGAGGAATTTAACGTTGCTTTTTATTTTCTTTGTTTGTGTTTTGTTTGTTTTGTTTTTTTGTTTTTTTGTTTTTTTTTAGATATAACGATAAAAAATTCACAAGGACGCATTTATTTTGTGTTATTGCACATGTACAGAACAGCCTACATGGCATTTGTATATTGTTATTGTATATAGTATTTCTAATTTATTTTAGGTGTTTTAGATTCTGTTTCTATTTTTATTTCATTTCTTTTTACATTTTCCCCTTTTACTGCTATTCTTTTGTGCTGCTGTGTCAATTTGAATTTCCTCTACGGGGGATCAATGAAGGTACATCTTATTTTATCATAGGATTAGAACTTGAAAAATATCTTTTTTTTATTTCGTTGTGTCTTTAGGGGACAGGAACAGGAAAGAAGGAACAGACTCTTTTGGATGAGAGAATATGAAATAAATGACTTGCGAAAAAAACTTGAACGGATGAAACTATGACTTCATGTCTGCAAGTTTGGAGGAATAATCTCAAAGGTAACATTGATTTGTATAAAAAGTAACTATTGACTTGCCTAATAATGAATGGCACAGTAATAACTATGGCAAGAGGTTGGGGTCAATATGTACAGTAGCAGTTACACTGTACACCCCACAGTCACTGATTTGAAGTGCAGTGACTGTCCATTTAACTGCCACCAATTGCTCATTTAAACTGGACTATTGAACTTTATAGTGGAGCTGACCCGTCTCAAGCGATCAGTCATGTAATTGGTTATTGGTGTCTCAGTCGAGTAAGAAATTTATCATCTGTTTTTTTGTGGTTTCTATGTCGAGATTTGAACTTAATAATCTGTTACTCATCAGTGGAAAATGATGGTTACAATGTGCGCGAATATACTTTGGTTTTTGAAAGGTACGGGATCTTAAAAGAGCTCTGTGAGCCAACATCTGTTTGAGAAATAACAACAGTACAATGTGATAGATTAATCAGTCTGTCAAAGAAATCCTGTCTATTGTATTTGTAAAAATGCTGTCTGTTGAGTCCGGCCTCGCTTTCTAAAACAACAATACTGCCTGTGTTGGGAGAGGAAGGATCTATAGTATGTGACTGTATGCATGTCGCCATTCAACTCCTCATGTACATACAGCAAATGAGAATATATCCTCTTTAGGGTGTGTGGGAGGATAATAAGCTGTGTCAAGGATAATTATGAGGGCGTCCACTTCAAAACACAGCTAGTGCACGGCTAGATTTCCCTGCAGCTTCTACAGTCGCTGCCAGTTACGGACTGCACTGAGCTTTCTGAGGAGTGGAATCCAAAAAAAAAAAGAAAAAGCACCTTGTTTAGGTTTTGTCGATGTTTGGGTGTGCACGGTGCTGTGGCCTGCGAGTGTGTGAGCATGTCTTAAGCGCTGATGGCTCTCTCAGCGGCTGGCTCTTCATGGCTGACTGAGCATCCGCCCTGATACACACACAAAGACATGAACACACACACTGGGTCGTGCATGAATACACGGTCATTTAAGGCAGGGGCACGGAGGCTTAAATGAAACTTACACACACTCACACACACACACACACACACACTCTTCATGGTAAGGCCACTATATATTCTGTCCTGTTTGCTCCAGAGAACAAGAGGTGTGTGTGTGTGTGTGTGTGTGTGTGTGTGTGTGTGTGTGTGTGTGTGTGTGTGTGCTGTACATGTACATGTGTGTGTTTAATGGAGGCAAGTCTGATGCTCCCAGGGCACAGAGCCGGCCGTCAGGCAACCGTTTCCCCTGTTTCCATAGCAACCCCTGTCCAATTACCACTGCTGCGTTGCACTACTGGCTCTGTTTCTGTATGGTGGAGCCACTTCTCCACTGCAT